CCGTCGTCCATTATCCCCTAAGATATCTGCTTACGAACTCAGGCATCCTCTTAAACGAATTAATAATTCATCAAGCCACTCGGGCTGTAATGTAACTTGTAATGCTGTGTGTTAATGTGTGGGTTCGGCTAAGTATACACGATACGGTGTTTTTGTTGCAACACACATACACAGATCGAAAATCTACAAACGATTCCGTGTTCCAAATTTAAATATTTTTAAATTTAATCCTTGCTAATATTTTAAATGTGAAAGTGAGTTTGTTCTTTGTTACCTTTAACGCCTTAATTTAATTTGGTGTATACTTCTAAATGGGATGGAGAAAGATATACTTTTTATCCGGGTCAGTATGTACAGTAACGTATTTCGGTTACGCGAACAAAGTCACGGGTAAAAACTAGGATGTCGTAATGAATAATGATGATGAAGTAAAAAGTAATTTATTTTGGGGTTTCATCATCACCATTTCAGCCATTATCTGTCTACTGTAGGACATAGGTCTCCCCCACAAACTACCATAAAATGTATATATATATATATATATTAATAATTTTCTGTCGTCCACAGTGAGGGGTGATAGGTGAGAATGAAAAGGTAAGTCAGTTAGCCCATCGTAACGAATACACCAGGAATTCAGCACGGTGGTTTCTAGGGGTCAACCTTATGGGGCATATTGCTAGTAATGGGACTAATAGTTCGCATTACTAACAATCCTCTCCCCCAGTAATGACGGTAGTAGGTCAGTTATTAATCTGAGACTAAAGATTATCTCCTTTATTTACAAAAACATCAAATCTCTCATATACCTTTTTAACTATTAAACTGTTTTGTCTTTTGCGCTAAATTCGTAGTTTGAAAGAAAGTGACAAAACAGTGTAATAGTTAAAACAAGTTTGTAGAAGGTTTTAGTTTTCACGAAAAATATCGTATGTTCTTTGTCTAACTAATTTACCACAGATTAAGATGGTTGGTCACTAAACAAAATTAGGCACGAATACTAGATGGCGCTAGAATCGTGACTTGTGGTTTTTGTTGATTATTTTGTAACTAAAGATAATTTGATGCAAAATTTCTAAATTGGCTATCCAAAAGTGGTCTATTTCGTAGATTCTCCTACTTATAAAACCCAAACGTGCGGAGTAGCGGCTGAAAGCTAGTACATAATATGATTGCAAACGTTGTATGTATCTTTCTTGTGGACAAAGACTTTACCTGTGGACAAAGTAGCAATTTGTAGCAGAAAGTATAGTGTCCGTTATCCCAAGGGGAAGCGGGAGCTGCATTTTATTTTAAAGATAATGTATTATTGTTGTCTAGACTCAATAAACAGACAGTATTTAAGGATTTAAGTTTTTTTTTTATTGTCAAGGAGGTAAACGAGCAGATGGACCACCTAAATGAAAGGAGCTACCATCACCCATGACCACTTGCAACACAAGATGAGTTGCTTATGTGTAGCATGAATTATTAAATGAATTAGAGTCTAATGGTTGATTTAGCTGAAAATATGGATGAAAAATGGATTGCATTGTTAGTTTATGGTTTACCAGAGGGAGACTTTGTACAAAAGTGGTTAGATATGACAGTGAATTTACAGGGCACAGAGGAATAACATCTGAGTCTTCAGGAATGGCAACGCATTCATCATCAATAGTATCATGGGTGAAACAATATACTCTGTTAAGTCCATGGCACAGCTCATGTCTATAGGCGGCGGTTATCACTTTTCATCAGGTGGGCCGTCAGTTTGTACATCATTCTAAGTTGTATAAAAAACACGCTGCTTACTAATAGTAAGGATAAGGTCAGGTCTATTAACTCATTGTGATGAATTTATAAGGTATTAAATACTGTGGTGTTTAGGGAGGATCATGTGAATATTGACCTGATCGGATAATCGAGTCTCTACTACTAACAAACTTTTCAAGCAGCCAGAACGATTAGGTAAATTTCATTTATTTAGTTGTAGAGCAAGATAAAAGTTTTGCTTTATTGAATTCATTAATTAACGGGTAGTAGTAATAAAGCAATTTGAAAGTTTTGCTCAAATAACTTCATTCATTGACCAATATTGGTAATAAGGCAAATCAAAATTTTTGCTCAAGTGTGTAGAAAAGTCGATTGCTTGGGTACCTCTGTCCCATTCGTGTTTCAACCATGAAGCAGTTGTCTTTGCATGGCTGTGTTTCGGTTCGAAGGGTGGGATATGGCGTGATTTTACTAGGTACAGAGAAATAACACCTGAGTCCTTAGGAATGGCAACGCATGGGGAGTATCATGGGCGAAACAGTATACTCTGTTATGTCCATGGTACTGCTCATGTCTATAGGCGACGGTTACTACTTTCCATCAGGTGGACCGTCAGCTTGTTTGCCATTCTAAGTTGTATAAAAAAATAAAAAATTATTTGTAAGAAGCTTAGTTAAAATATTAGCTTAAATGACAAATTGTCGTGTAGGAGCGTGTATGCTACGCCTTAGTTTAACCGACATCGATCAATCACCGTCAAGTAATATTAATGTTATTCTTGTTGCTAATACGTAAGCTAAGTGAATATTAGTACGACGAAATATGGTCAGATCTATTTGTAACAAATTTGTCTGTGGTTTACGTTTGAATATTTTAATCGATTTTGATTTTTAAATTATTTATTTCTTATTATAAACTGTGGTTATGTTCGCATACAACAGTATATTTTTTTGGGGTTAACCGATAATTATATATAGCTTAAAATATACTCGTACCTTCTTAGACTGCTATAAGAAACAGTTTTGAACAACCTATGCTTACTAATTCCCTGTAATACTTGTCGTAATCATTCCATCTAATTTTATATCTTTTTACCTTTCTAGAATATAATAAATGATTATTTGTTACTATCACATTTACATTGGTTTGTTTGTAATCAGTGTTTACTAATAAATCATCAAGTATATACATTTTCATAATTCATTTTGTAATTACATTTAGCAGATCATTTATTATTACTAGTAACAAATAATGATCTTCGAACCGGAAAGGGTGAACGACCTTGAAATTATGTTTTTCAATGAAACGAAAATGATGGATGAAAATAAAATAATAATTCTGCCAAATAGAATAATAATCCTGCCTGTACTATTATTTTAGGAAGACGAGATCGAAGGATCGAAGGAGAGGAGAAGGTAGCTGTGAACGACGATGAGACTGACGTAATCGATTATCATGATAGATTCACTGGAAATTAGGCACAATGATTCCGCGTGGAGATTCACCTAACAGAATATAGTTGTTATTATCTGTGTTTATATATGTGAGATAAATATTTAAACAAAAAATAATGGCTAGTGAAAGTTTTAGTGTAGTCATAATAAAACTCCTAAACATGTTATAAGACACAAGTTGTGTAAATACACTGCGTTTATAAAGGGAAAATTGTTCACGAGACAAAGTGTCCATCGTCTGCACAGACTTTTATGATAACAGTTAGTTTTTATGAAAATTCTATAGCATAACAAATTCCATAGCCACTGCAAAACAACTTTAGACAAAGTGTCCATCGTCTGCACAGACTGATAACAGTTAGTTTTTATGAAAATTCACAAATTCCATAGCCACTGCAAAACAACTTTAGAGATAAAAGTATAAGTACCTGTGCTCATTCATATGTCGGGTCTGTTATCCCCAATTAATTCAATACGAAAAGTTAGTGAAGCTAATATCAATTTGCGATATCAAAATTTTATTTGATAACATCGGCTAAATGCGACTTCACTAAGCTATTAATATTCCACCCACGGCTTATCGGAAAAATGGATGATTTTGTATCGATGTAACAGCTTTAGTTGGGTTTCTGATTATAATGAAGCAACTGTTTTATTTTAAGTTGTAGTTGTTGTTTTGTTTTATATGTTGACAGTTTACTCGCTGGAAAGTAAAAACCGTTGCCCATAGATGTAAATAACATTATTGATATGATCAGAATACGCTGTAGTAACCATAAGCACTATGATATACTATTCCTGAGAACTAAAGCTTTATTTTTCTTCTTTTGGAAACTCAACTAAGCTATTAATATTCTACCCATGGTTTATCGGAAAATGGATGATTTTGTATCGATGTAACAGCTTTAGCTGGGTTTTTGTTTATAATGAAGCAACTGTTTTATTTTAAGTTGTAGTTGTTGTTTTATTTTATACGTTGACAGTCTACCTGCTGTAAAATGATAATCGTAGCCCATATATATCAATAACATTATGGATATGATCATATGCTGTGATGTTCATGTAGCAATTCCTGAAAATTAAAGGTTTATTCTTCTTTTGAATTCGACTCTTGTTGGAAGTTGGACAACATAAAAATTTATACCAATACTTTATGCCTTTCCTTCCTTTGATTTGATTAATTTTATACTATGTGCTTCAATTGAATCGAAAGGTTGTCAAAAAATAATCATATAATTGTTGTTTCACGACAAAAACATGAGTAACTCAGAGGTACATAAGCAAGAGACTTTTGTATAAAGTCTCGTTCTAATTCTCGTAAATGTGTTTACACTTATGTATTTTTGTAATGAAGATTTGTAAATGATGTAAGGAGCATGATTTAATACCAATCTTAAACAATTATTGTTACGTCAATCTCGTAAATGTGTTTACACACTTATGTATTTTTGTAATGAAGATTTGTAAAATGTGTGTTTAAACAATTATTGTTACTTTTAATTTATTAATTTTATTATTATTCATTATCACAATGTTAATGTGATAAGAAAACAGTGAATTTTCATTATTGTTATTTTTTACTAGCAATTATGACGTAAAGCATGAATTGTAACTTTTACAATTAGCATGCTACAGACTTTATTTGCTTATCCTTTACGACCCAATGGGTCGTTATGAGAACTCGACCGTTGATAAATTCGAATGGAGCGGTTTTTGTCTGTCTGTGATTTTTTAGTTATCGAACAATGTAAAAGTATTTATGACGCAAACTAACAGATAAAATAGAGAGATAAACACCTTATTTGAGTCATTTATTATGTAATTTAACAACTAAATTCATACAATCAAATGAGTTACATAATTATAAGAATAAAATACAAAAGATAAAATACAAAAATATGTTTTCGCCATGTATGTCGCAGTGACCCCATGATAAGACATGAAATTGTATTTTTAATAAAGATGTGTTGCTACTCGTGAAATATCTACATTTGTCTACTTAACTATCTTTGACATATTTATTAGATAAAAAGTATTTGATTATACATATGTTTATTTGTTCTTTTTTTTATTTATTCAGCTTTTTATTATATTATTAACTTAGAAAACAGATTGGAGACAAAAATATAAAAGTTAGTAAATATTTTAAAATTGCTTTCATAAACACAAATATATAAAAAACCAAGTAAGTACAACATAAATTTGGTGTCTTGTATAAATTCTTACAATATAAACTTTTTATACAGTTGCTATTTTCAATATGTATATAGCAATTGCAGTTTATTCATATTATTACCATTTTTGAAAATATAGCATGGAGCATGACATAATTAATAGTATAAAATAAATATAAGGACCAAAAATGAAATACTGTTAGCTAGCTAAATAAATTCTTTTATTAATTACTTTTTTGTTTTTTATTTGCATTGTAATAACGTTTTATAAATAACACTACATAATACATAAAGATCACGATGGCAAATATCACAGATGTTAATCCTAATAATAAATATGTAACTAGTTCAATTTCCAGGAATTCACCCCAAGATATGTTGGCAGCGGGCGAGCGCAGATGCTTCGCTCCCTTGTGACGCAGCACGTACTCTGTCCACCACACGGCGCGCTCGAGCGCGCTCTGTGGCTGGTCTGACATCACCGTGCGAAGTCTCTCAACGTTCTGGCGGTAGCTGAATTAACCGATTAATATTATTATTTAAAAAATACTATTTAATAAACTAAATGTAAAAGAGTATTGCCTAAGTAAATATATTCATATCCTATGATTTAATTCAGAATATAGTGAATTTTTATATAAAATCTTTAGATCCATTCAGCCGATTCAGTGTGACTGAATATTAACTTCTACAAAATTTTACGTCTACATTATCATATCTCGCTGCTTTGCTACGTGAAAAATATACTATCTGCTTGTTACATTTTATTCAATCTATCATATAATAAGAATTTTAGTCTCCTTTTACCACACCCACAGGAAAGGAAGGGATGGCCCATTCTATACCGGAACCACACAGTGAAGTGATCAATAGATATCAAAATATCTTTCACAAACATTCAGTATAATAATTTTAGTGGGATTAGCAGGATTTTAATCATATTTAGCAGCTCACTGAATCAAAACAATAAGGTGATTTGGAACAAAAGAGTGGCCGAGCGTTGAATTGTTACTGCTTGGAATTTGGACTAATTGTAATGAATGCTACGTAACTTTTTTAAGTAAAGTTTGGTGTTTTATAAAAAGTTATTTTTACTTTGCTTCTAGTAAATTTTTTTGGCAAACAAGCTGGCAGCTCACCTGATGGAACATTTTCCATCCGTAACAGTCGCCTATAGACATAAGCAGTACCATGGACATAACAGAGTATACTGTTTCGCCCATGATACCCCCCATGAGTTGCTATTCCAGAGGACTCAGGTGTTATTCCTCAACAAAACACATGTGATTACAGCATCTTAAGTAAATATAGGTCTATATTCACATTATGATTCATGAATACAATTATTATTGATTCTGTATTTACTTCGTCATTATAGAAGATGCTGCTTTCTTTTGCGGAGAGAGGTCAAATTACTGGTTCTCGGTGAAAGATAGAAATTTATTGTTAAGTGTCATAATCACACATATTACTTATATAATAAAATTTGTACTTAGGCGATGTCTGTACATAGAAGATATTTAAGAAAACTTAATCTTAGCGAAAAGATTTTAATAGGAGTTATTAGAAGCCAAAACAGTAGAATTTTGTCTGTTGTGTCTGGCATCACGTATAAAATAATTGCACCAAATTGGATGTGGTCTTCACAGTTATGTTCCAGAACGTCTATCTTAAAACCAGGTGGATCTATTTTTTTTATATAACTTAGAATGGCAAATAAGCTGACGGCCCACTTGATGAAAAGTGGTAACTGTCGCCTATAGACATGAGCAGTACCGTGGACATAATAGAGTATACTGTTTCGCCCATGATACCCCCCATGCGTTGCCATTCCTGAGGACTCAGGTGGTTTAATACCTCTATACCCAGTAAATTCACGCCATATCCCACCCTTTAAACCGAAACACAGCTATGCAAACACAACTGCTTCACGGTTGAAACATGTGTGTACAAAGTCTCCCTCTGGTATTTTTTATATATACTATCTATACGTAGTCTATTTTGTTAGTTTTTCAAATTTATAAGTCGCAAAAATTTATATCTGGCAAAAAGTTAGTCATGTATATGAGTAAAATGATTTCCATGAATGATACTCGTGGAAACCATTTTACGAGTACTATTAAAATTTTTTGTTTAAAAGTGCGTTTATTTTTTGAAATAACTATTTTACTAATATAACTTGCCAAAATCTGATCAAATATATTTAATATAAAATTTTACATATATTTACCTTTTATCATTTATTGTAGTATTTATGGCATTATAAAATTTTTCCTCAGTAAGGTCTTCTAGGTCCAGCCTCACTCCTATCCCGTGTCTGACATACTGTTCCACATTGTACCACTGGTCTCCAAGCATCGGCATACCAATTAACGGAACTCCAGCAGTTATAGCTTCATCAGTTGACTGTAAGCCTCCTTGTGTTATAAACAGTAACACTTTTGGGTGCCCTTTAAATTTAAAATATTATTTAGGAGCGCGACTTTCTTCTACATTTGCTTTTCTAGTTACATGATTATCTAGTTTTTCCAGGGCAAAAAAGAATAGGCTCTCCATGGATCTGTGAACTTTAGTTATTTTATTGCAATTTAGTTATAAGTTGATATTTCTCTTAAATAGCCTTTTTTAATTCAAAAATTATCCGTTGTTGGGGCAACAAATCTGTATATCTTTCTACAATTAGCTTTATCCCTGACACATATTCTTAATCTCCTTATACGATATGACACCTAACTTTTCCTTTATATGTTCTATGTAGTAGTTTCTTGGTTTCTCTTTTCTTCTTTTATCCTTTATCTTTTCTTCTAAAATGTTCTTTATAAAATCGTTATGATTTTTATTTAATTTCTTAATTTAATTTTATTTTTATATATAACTTAGAATGGCAAAGAAGCTGACCTATATGACATATAAGGCGACCCTCTTTAATTATATACTGTTTTAATTAGTGTTTTCTCTCATTCATTCTTATTCAATAATACAATAAAATTAATAGTTGAAAACTTAAAAAGCAACAACAGGTGAGGATAAGGTAAAGTCAAGTGGTCAGATCATCGTAACGTATTGACTGACTTAACTTATTAACTAGGTCTTAGGTAGTTTAAATGATACACGTAATTATGGTTAAAACTAATTGATCATAATTAAATTAAAACTTACTGAGAAGATCAGACTGTGGAAGCCATTTCGATATTTTGATATTCTTTGAACGTCCCGGTAATTCATCCTTATCCCACTTCCATATTACGTCATATGGAAGACGAGAGAATACATTTACAATCATTTGTATTTTCTCCGGTGGTAGCTGTGATGGACTTACATTTGTACCATAACTCATATATATAACACCATGCTTAGAACTGTCTAAGTAAAATTGCAGTTCCTGAAAATAAGGAAGAATTAAACCTCCCATTAGACTTTAAAAAAGAAATTGTTTCACTAACCACAGCCTTTATTAAGAATGGAATTTTTAAAAAAGAAGTATTCTCCCAATGCCATTTATTTTATGCAATATGTTCATAATTTTTTTCTGTATAATTACAATATAGAGTTACTCAAAAGAGACGTGAAAATACTTCTTTAGATTTGGCAATAGTTACACTACCAAACTAACTGCTAGCTAACCTTGTAATTGCAGGCGTTGATATCTGATAACTGTTTATGACTAGCCAGGAAGAATGGTTGCATAACATCTCAATGATATTTATATAAAAAAATATGAATACAATCAAAGCATTTAAATTAACCATGAATTTAAACAATTAGTCTTAAATAAACGTGAATATCTTAATTGAAGATATATTAAAAATTTCTTTTGTAAACTTACGAAAAAGTACTAATTTATATGTTATTACTTCTAATATAATTGGAAAAGCAAGAGCTGCTATTTATTAATATATATTGTTGTAAGATTTCACTGGAATGTACAGTATATTATTATTATCTCACTAGAGGTTGAACCGGAGAAATATTACTATTCGTATAAGACTGGAGACATAGAGCTGTCACTTTTGAGCCGTTTCTCTAATGAGACTTTTAATATTAGGTCGTGGCAAACGAAATTTATAACAAAGAGACTACTTTACCCAAGGAAGACTTTGTATAAAACTCCTTTGCTTGGTTCGTGTTTGAAGGTTGGGATATGGTAGTGAGTTTACAGGGTACAGAGGAATACACCCGAGTCCTCAGGAATGGCAACGCATGGGAGGTATCATGGGCGAAGCAGTATAGGTATTCTGTTATGGTGCTGCTCATATCTATACGCGACGGTTATTACTTTCCATCAGGTGGGCCGTCAGCTTGTTTGCCTTTCTAAGTTGTATAAAAAAATAAGCTAAATTGAATAGTACAGAAGTTTAAATACGATTTGTAAAAGATTGTTAAATGGAGAACTAGAGAAGTAGATTAAAAAATATCACTTACCTGTGGTAGTTCTTTTACGGGTTTGCGATGTAATCCTCCTAAATAGACAACATTTGGTGGAACAGGACGATTCGAATCCCAAAATGGATGAGCATTTAGAAATAACATGTCTATATTATTATACAATTCACTAAGAGGTGGGATGTCAGAACCAAATACTCTTTTCATCATTTCATTTTGTTTTTTTTCGGCAGTGTCAAACATATATATAAATGAGTAGTGATTGTAAAGTTCTATTATTTTGTCCCAAATTGTAAGATTATTAAGTTTTTGACGGAAAGACATTGGATAAAGTATAGGATGTACTGGACTTCCCATAGCTTCCATATTATTATATATTGGTAATAAAGAACTTATAAGTATTATGGGGGCATTAAAAATGTAAGCCAGTCCCAATCCAGGTCTCCATAATGATTCAATAAATATCAAATCGAATTTCTCTTTCTTGCTTTGAATTATTCTTTGAACTTGCTTTGAATTTATTTGTTGCTCAGATATATCTGTAACTAAATTGTATAAAACTCTTACTTGATTAATAATATCACTTTTCTTCCCTGTTGTTGTTTCGTCACTATACACTGCTTCTCTCCAAATACTATATGATAAATCATGCAAATCTACTTCTGTTAGATTTGAGTGAAATTTCGTTTTTGGAGAGATTGGATCAGTTGTAATTACAGTGACATCATGACCTCTTTTAGCTAGTTCCAACATTAATGTTTGAAACACTACCTGATGACTAATAGAAGGAGTTGGAAAATAACCCAATATTCTGGCAGCATCATTTTTCACAACTACACAAAATATAAGATAAATATATAAGGAATATATATTCAACATATTTGAACGACTTGAGTTTCCAATTGTAACTATTTTAAAATGTATCTCTTTTATTAATTGTATATAGTATGTATCTATGTGCATATATGTTATCATTAATTACAATGATTTGTGGAAATAATCTTATCTATCTTTACATAGTTGGTGGTAATGGCCTTCAGTTTATGATATGGATGAAGGTGAACGAAATATAAAATGTCTTTAGTTAATCAGTGTAGGCAGTAGTATGGTGTTATTATAAACTATATACTGACGACTTAATAATATATTATGATTTAATTTAATAATTTATTCACTCTTAAATTAAATTGTTTAATTTATATATATACATATATATATATATATATATATATATATATATATATATATATATATATATATATATATATATATATATATATATAAATTTAATAATTTAAATTTAATATAATTTAATATTGTATAAAAATTGTGTATTCTGATTACTTAGTTAAAGAATTTGTTTATTAATTTATTAATATTATTTTTGTATTTACCACTAATTGAATCCAATCAATTAATAATATAATAATTGAATCAATGAATATATAAACTATTCTAAATGCTAAGTTGTCCTAACTTAGCACTTAGAAATCTTACCCGTGTATTGAATTTCATTCAAATCCATTCAATACTGTTTGCGTAAAAAAGTAACATTCATCTTTTGATCCATCATTACAAAAATTACCATAGTAATTGGATTAAAAATACAGCTGAGTAATCAACTATTAATTGACTCTGCCTATATTGTATAAGTTTTATTGTAGCTATTCAGATACCTAGAATAATACACAAAATTAATTAGTTAATTTAAAACTAGTTGTATCTATCGACTTTACCTACGTGAATCAGTATATAAACTACCCTAAGAGCTAAGATAGGATATAACGTACCTGTGTACTAAATTTTATTCAAATCCGTTCAGTAATTTTTGCATAAAAATTTATTTACCTTCACATTTATAATATTAATAAGATAAATGTAGTAAGTTGAGATGGTATTATAACTTTTTTTTTCACCAGAAAGACATTTTATAAATAAACAAATATTGAAGATAGCCTTAACATTTAGCCATTTTGTTATGCAACATTTTTATTTTATTTTGTCCTAAATTATTTATTATGTTAATATTGTAGTAATATTACTTTGATATTATTATTATAATAAAATTACGTACATGAATATATTCCTTCCAGTGAATTAAAAAACAAAAAAAAAAAAAATACATAAAACAGGCATATACATAATTCATTATATATAAAAAAGTGCATCAAAAAGTTTATTATTAGTTATTATTTCAGTTTTTTTTTTTACTTATAACATTAAAAATGTTACTTATATATTAATAATGTAGGTTATATATTAAATTAGAATATACGACAATTTATATATTGACACATGCGGGCGGAGCTGCGGCATGCAACTAGTTACTTATAATTTTTTTGCGGAACATTCGCGACCACGTGCATCACGCTGCACGGGTAAGAAGCGCCGCGTGATATGCGGTATACTAGTGTCGCTCGCATCACATGTCAGTGTTGGAAACTAACAAAATTTATTACTGGCATAAAAACTTTTTACTATGTTTTTTATTACAATTAAAAATATATATTAATTGTCATGAATAAGAGAACGTATAAAATTATATTCTATTTATCTTAAATTTTAGCGTTTAAATATTTTAATCAATGGATCAAGATTGAAGTCAATACGAATTTAGTCCTTCGAGCCGGAAGGGACGACGCCATTTTTAATAAAGACAGCACTACCGATCTAGCGTGTTACGTGTGTCTCGAATATTTTAATACTATTTCAGTAGAAATAAGTCAAAAGACAGCGGAAAAGAGTAAAAATATTTTGAATAACATTTATATAGTCAATATAATTTGTTAAAGATTTATATATATATATATATATATATATATATATATATATATATATATATAATGTAAATTTGTATATCTCGATGTATGACGTTGATCATAGAGGACTTATCTTGTTTTACCATCCATTGTTATCTACCTATGATTCTTACTAGATAGTCCCATTACTAGATGGAATTATTTATTTTTAAAATTTCAAATATAGATGATAAAAAAGCACTGATATTTCTTTGTACATATTTTACAAATTCATTAAAATAACTACATTAAGTAGACCGTTTATTATTATCAAAGTAAATAATTAGAACGGTCCTTTGTGCCGGACATATTTCACCGGATCACCTGAGAATGATGTCATAGTTATATCATACGACTGAACTGCTAGTGGATTAATTATTGATTTATTATATTATGGGGAAACTCAGCCAATGTAAATTATTTTACTTTTATTAGTATTAAAACGTTGTCAAGAATTATATAAAAATAAAGGTTATCTTATGTTGACATGATATTACAATTTAGTTTATTTGTAATTAATTACATTCAATATTCGTATTATAAATAATACTGATAAGAAAATATGATTATGAATATGGACCGCAAACAAATTTAAAAATATAAGTAAAAAGTTTCTATATAATGGCTACAAAATTATATAATCATTTACTTAATGCTATCTTTAGAGGTATCTATTTATAAATACAAACTTAATATTTTACATTGATATTACAAATCCATACATATAATAAAATTGTAACTGGTCGCTGTCTGTACATGGATTATATATAAAAAAAACCTACTATAGGGGCTTTATGACCACACTACTGCGTATAAAATATGCGGAGTTATAGAATCCCATAACAATTATTTTTAAATTTTTTGACTATTTGTCTATACGTTTGTGCACGGTAATTTCAGAAACCGCTTAGCCGATTTCAATGCGGTAATCACTGTTGCGTTGCGGTTAGTTTCACTTAATATTTAATGTATGTTTTATTTAAATTGGTTAATAAAAAAGTTATATCAACCTAATGAATCACATATAAAATGCTATAATATAAACGATCACTTGAATTAGTTGAAACTTTTTTTTATTATGTTTATAGATTTTCAAAAATTCTATCTACTCATACGAAGCCGAGTCGGATCGCTAGTAAGTAATTTATACCTATAAATTGTTGAAAGGAAATTCAAATAAACAAAACTAATTTGACTATGTAATATTATTCAAAATATTCTGTTCTACTGTCTTTATTAAAGAGTTTTTATTGTTTATACACACGACTGGTTTCAAAACTTCATTTTCAGACGTATTTATAGAAATTTCATCAAGAACTCGCAGCACAAACAGTGAATTATCAGAATTAATTGGAGAAATTCATTGAATTTTATATAGTTCGTTTGATCATTCGAACCTCTAGAGTCTTCTGTCGTTTCATTTAGGTTATATAATTCTTTGATAAGTACCGCATCAATTAGATAGTGCACGAGTTTTATCAAATCTGCAATTTTATATTTATATAGTGATTTTTTTTTTAATATTTGTTACTTACAAGTATGTTATATATGAAATGAAAGTTGTAACAGATATAAATTTATTCAGTTCATATATCAGTCATAGATTTTTCGTTTATTCGAATTAGTGAATTTTTTTAAATATAGCAAATAAATGTAATCTCTGTGGTACTGATATAATATATTGTGTTAATGCTATTTATTTACTCTAATCTGCAATAGAGTGAACGAAAATTACAGTTTCGATATTTTTACCGTTCCCTATTGTGTGTATGTTGGTATTTTTGTTATCAGTTAGATAGTCCGATTGACATAATCAGATGTGTAAAAAAGACTGAGTAACAATTACTTGCACATAATAAAACATATACTTTAATCAGTTTAGTACTTTATTTTATTAACTACTTTTCATTTTCTTATTAGCATTATAGTTATGTTTTATAAACAACACTATGTAATAAATAGCAATCACACTGAAAAATGTCACAAATGTTAATCCTAATAATAAGTATGTAACTAGTTCAATTTCCAGGAATTCACCCCAGGACATGTTTGCGGCGGGCGAGCGTAGGTGCTTCGCTCCCTTGTGACGCAGCACGTACTCTGTCCACCACACGGCGCGCTCGAGCGCGCTCTGTGGCTGGTCCGACATCACCGTGCGAAGTCTCACCATGTTTTGGCGGTATCTAAAATGTTATAATTATTTAAAATTTGAAAATTTTAATTAATATTTAATAGACTAAGCACATTATTCATAAAAATTAAAACCTCATGTAAACCTATTTTAAGTAGTAGATTGTTTTGTCACTTTTTTTTTAAATTAAGAAATCAGTGCAAAAAAAGGCAGAAACATTCCAATAGCTAAAATAGGTTTACGAGATGTTTGGCGTTTTTATAAGTAAAGGAATAAATATATTATCACCACTGCCAATGTTAATTTGATGTGAAATTTACTTTTTATCATTTATTGTAGTATTGATGGCATTATGTAATTTCTCCTCAGTGAGGTCATCCATGTCCAGTCTCACTCCTATCCGATGTCGAACATATTGTTCCACATTATACCACTGGTCCCCAAGCATCGGCATACCAATTAACGGAACTCCAGCGGCTATGGCTTCATCAGTGGACTGTAAACCTCCTTGTGTTATAAACAGTAACACGTTTGGGTGCCCTTCAAAATAAAAAGTGAAATATTATTTACGTAAAATAGTGAAATACTTCGCTCTAACAACTCTCTTGCTCTCTCTGATCCACTTCATAATTCGGCTTTTTTTTCCAATTTCCTTACTCTTCAGGCCTCACAACTCTGGAATGCGCTACCCATTGACATAAGGCAAGTGTCTAAAATATTTTTACTTTAAGGAAAAACTACAAATATCTTTTGAAGAAACTATGAAAGCAGTTCATCATCTTCATCATCATCACCTTTGGTCTCTATATGTAATGTATGTTTAATGTATTCATATATGTATATTCATATGATTATAATGTGTAGTAGTTATTCATTGTATTGGTTATAATTTGTATAATAAGTCAATATGGTTACTTCTGTAACTAAAACAATTTTAAATTTTTCACTAATTTTTGTATTACCAAAGGTTAACTGGGAGAGACCGCTATATAGCATTAAGTCCGCCTTTTGTACCAGACATTTATGTAACGTGGTTAAAAAAGAATGAAAAAAAAAAAAAATAAGTAAAACTTCTTCCTATGTCTGTTTTTTCAAGCACATATAAAACATGAATATTTGGTCGTGGAACCTTAAAGTTTAATCTGTAGCGAACGTGTATTCTATTTTAGTAATAAGCTGCATCTTCTCCTGTATATTATAACGTAAAAACTTTTAAAAATAATCTAAATAGATAAAGTATAATCCCGTTTATTTTAAAGGTATTCGTTAGCAAGGTACAGATAATGAGAAATGAGTGAAGATGAGATCAGTTGGAGTCATATCAGTTAGTCTATCATGACAAATTTATCTGAAATGGTAATCTATACCATAATTTAATCTTCCATGTGGTAGTTTCAGTCATGATGCACATCATATATGCATGTCATAAATACACGATATTGCTAGCAGAGAGCCATTAGACGCAATTATTGACAATGCATATCCCTGATACTTATTGGTAATTAAATTAAAACTTACTAAGAAGGTCGGACTGTGGAAGCCATTTCGATATTTTGATATTTTTTGAACGTCCCGGTAATTCATCCTTATCCCACTTCCATATTACGTCATATGGAAGACGAGAGAATACATTTACAATCATTTGTATTTTCTCCGGTGGTAGATGTGATGGACTTACATTTGTACCATAACTTATATATATCACACCATGCTTAGAAGCATCCAAGTAAGATTTAAGTTCCTGCAAGTGACGAAAAATACATTAGTTTTTATAAAAAAAAAAACCTTAGAATGAATTGGCACAACGCGATTTCAGAAAAGTACCTTTCCATGGATATTTATATTATGGAAGAAATTGCTTTTTTAATACTTTTTTTCTATATACTACAATATAGAGTTTTTATAAAATATTGGATAATAATAGAAGGATTTTTGGAAAACATGCAAAAGCTATGCATATGTTTTCCAAAAATCTATAAGGGAGGCCTATGTTCATCAGTGGATAGATAATGGCTGATATGATGATAACAATGATGTGCAAAAAGTACAGATTTCTATATCTAATGCAATTTAAAATGCAAGAGGTACCATTAATTAAATTAATATAAGTAAACTTACTATCACAGAACTTTAAAAAAGAAAAAGATTATTAAATTGGGAAGTTTCTATTTTCTGAAGTTGATTAAAAAAATACTCGCAATTTACTTACCTGTGGCAGTTCCTTTATGGGTTTGTGATGTAATCCTCCTAAATAGATAACATTTGGTGGAACAGGACGATTCGAATCCCAAATTGGATGAGCATTTAGAAATAACATGTCTATATTATTATACAGTTCACTAAGAGGTGGAATATTAGGACCAAATACTCTCTTCATCATTTCATTCTGTCTCACTTCAGCGGCGTCAAACATATTTATAAAAGAATAATGATTGTACAGCTCTAATATTTTGTCCCAAATTGTAAGATTATTAAGTTTCTGCCGGAAAACTGTTGGATAAAGAATAGGATGTACCGGACTTCCTATAGCTTCCATATTATTATATACTGGTAATAAAGAACTTATAAGTATTACTGGGGCATTATAAATATAAGAAAATCCCAATCCAGGTCTCCAAAATGATTCTATAAATATCAAATCGACTTTGTCTTTCTTGCCTTGAATTAGGCTTTGAACCTGGTCTGTTTTCAGTTGTTTTTCAGATATGACTGTAATTAAATTATATAAAACTTTAAATTGGTTAACAATATTACTTTTATTTCCTGACGTCACTTTGCTGTCGTATACTGTTTCTCTCCATAAAGTATATGATAAATCCTGCAAATCTATTTCAGTCAGATTTGCGTGAGCCTTCCCTTTTGGCAAGATTGGATCAGTTGTAATTACAATAACATCATGACCTCGTTTAGCCAGTTCTAACATCAGCGGTTGAAATACTACCTGATGACTGATAGAAGGCGTTGGAAAGTAGCCCAATATCCTTGCTGCGTCATTTTTCACAATTAAACAAATTATCAGAAGATAATATTGGGAGTACATATTCACCATATTTGATTCATTAGAATCCACAAAAGCAAATGAACATTTTAAATTGTATCTCTGCTATTAATAGTGTTAATATGTAAATATCATTACTAACAATGATTAGTAGAAATAGGTTTATCTTCAATGGTAAGTCAAATATTTATACAATGTTTATTCGTGAATATCTTTAGTTACCAATTTGTGATTAATGTTGTGTCCAATCACAACATGACTAACAATTAAACGAAATGTATTTGGAGTTGTAATGGAAACATCAGTGCAAAAGTAAAATGACTAACTTTTACTTTCAGCTACTTCTGTATGATTGCGTTATATTGGTTAACTGGGATATACAAATTCTGTGTCCTTCTCCATCCAAAATAAGAGTAGTACTTGTATTGAAATTTGTTAGCCGTTAATAATCTAGGTAAGATATTTGTTGCTTACTTACATCTTCACTTATTAATATAGATGTTGAAATTGAAATATTAATATTGAATAAGTGACATTGAGTTTGTTACAAACTCAGTATCCCATTTATAATATTATTAAAGATTACATGTAAAGGTACTCGTAATCTGTCAACTATTAACTTACGCTATCTACCTGGTAAAATAATTGTCATAGCAACTGAGATGTTTAAAGATATATATATATAAAATTACTATGTGGGTAGAAGATATTGACTAGGAAAAAAGTAAACTATGAATTTGGTTATTTGATTAGAATTATATTGTTTAATTCTACTACTATTAGTATATATGTGACTGCTAACACTCGAAGATTACTACCATTATTACTACTAGAAGTTCCACAACCTTCCATATTAGCTATCAGTCTCCAATGCACCATTTTATTTGCGACACCTGTTTAATTTTGTATTAACACCAGTTTTCAGAAAAAGTAATATAGGAAGAGAGTATTATACGTGTATTCCTTTCAGACCCAAGATTTTTTTCTTTCAGATTAAATATATTTTCGTATTTTGGAGCCAAGCCAAAACACGAAAATATATTTAAGAGGGCACTACCCACCTGCCAAGCGGAGCAACTATTAGTTACGTTGACATGATATTATAATTTAAGGTAAACAACACAGTTGTTGGACACTTCGATTTTATTATTAAAAACAAACTTTAGAATAGCAAAACCAATAATTTCTAGAAACTTTTTGTCTATTTGTATGTTTGTTCTGATAAGACAAAAAAAAAAAACTGCAAAAAACCAAATCGGTGCAGTTATTTTTGCATGAATACGATTTTCATAGTTGTGTTTTTGTAGGTCGAACTTAAACTTTCATTTTTTGTCTTCATTTTTGGTAATGAAGAAAAAAAATCTATTTAGATAGATCCTTGGTGATGTATTAATACAGAAACAAGAATACCCATGAATGAAAACAGAATAGTTTTATTTCTATTAGCTATTATTTATCTGCACGTATATCTAAATCGAGAAACAAGAAAAGAGTTTATTTAAATAGATTTAGAAGAGAACGTAACTTATATAACTAACATTTTTAACGCTGCTTTTTACACGTGAATTTCAGAAGTAGGGAAACCAATTAAAAGAACCATTTTTAGATGGCATATCAAGATAGATAAACAATTTATTTTTACCACTTTAGCACATAAATAATGACTAAAGCAGTAAAGACGTACATCAGTTTTTAAGTTAGACTTTCACGATAATTTTTTATTTAATAGTGAAAACTGCATTTAACTGCAACTGCAACTGTGATTTAATAGTGAATACTGCATTTAATATGTTACAGTAGGTTTTGTGTAACTCTGGAACAAACATATAGGCAGACGAACAAAACTTCTAAAGGTATTTGTTTCGATTTCATTCACTTTTATTATGACGCTTCGTATTTTTTTTTCTTAAATATCTTCTATACATGGACATCGTTTAGTTACAATTTTATTGTACTAGTAAAATAACACTAATGTTATCTTTACATAATTTTTTTTACGTACATTTTTAATAAAATGTACTGAAAAAGCATTATTAAACATTCTTTATAATATAATAATTTTTAAAAATATGTCAATTTTTTAACGATGTCAATATACAAGCATAAATGAATTTTACGAACTTGCTATATTTGTCGTTTCCGACAATTGTTTCAACTTCATCCAGAAGTGTGCTGTGACGCAAAGCGCCGTACATCCCTGAAGAAGACTTCCGAATGAATTTCAAACAATTGTTGAAATCAACAAACAGTAAGTTCGTAAAATTCCTGTTGTGCATATAGGTACATATATGGATAACATATATATTTGTCACAAATATATAAAAAACGTTCATACATTACTGCTATTAAAATTTAGAATCATTTACCTCATGGTCTAAAAATACATATTACTTTTCTTATAAATTATATTTTGATAACATTGACATTATATAAATAGGAAATACACATATAGAAAATAACGATAGGCAAGGAACAAAAATAAAGTGATTGTGTTTAATATAGATATCATTTTAACCGCTACTTTCTGGATCTTTTGATGTAGGTTACACAATTCTTTGATTAGTTTTATATCATTCAGATAGTGCGTGATTCACATTAAATCTACAATTTACAATTGAGAGACAAGAAATGTGTTTTTATGAATGTCTATAATTTACGCTACTTTTAAAATTGGAATAAAAATTTATTTAATTTTTTTATGTAGGTATTTCATTTTTCCTTTATGCACAATTGAGAAGACTTTATACAAAATTTTCATAATTTGTATAATTATGTAATTTGTATAAATATCTTATATATTTTTATGATAATTTCATATATACATATATTAATATAAAATAGAGCAAATGAATATTCTGCTTGTATCCCTCTATAGCAACTCTTATCTCGTCCGTTTCCGGATATGGATCTTCTCTTCATCTTTCATTACCTGTCCATCCCTTGTTACTGGCATCTAATTGGTCCCGAGTTGCTGGCAAATATTATCTGACCATCTTTTTGATGGTCGACCGCGTGTATAAGCGCGAGTTCTCCACTCTAGCGTCCTTCTCACGCAACGATTATGGTTTATCCTTGCAATATGACCTACCTATCTCTCCTGACATCTTGACGATTTTTATTAAATATTTCTATATGGACAAAACTGATACTTTGTTTTAAATATTTTTGCTCAATAACTTGTGATATGGTATTATCATAGCTGGATTGATAGCTCGGCTTATACATTCAATTCGTAAGAATGACTGGGTAAAAATGACTAATCCAAAATGAAACATTTTATATCATTTTATTTTATTATTATTTTAAGTACTTTTTATTTTTTTATTATAATTGTAGTAATATTTTATAAATAACGCTGTGTAATAAACAGAAATCACACTGACAATTATCAAAGAAATTAATCCTAATATTAAATATGTAACTAGTTCAATTTCCAGGAATTCACCCCAGGACATGTTGGCGGCGGGCGAGCGCAGATGCTTCGCTCCCTTGTGACGCAGCACGTACTCTGTCCACCACACGGCGCGCTCGAGCGCGCTCTGTGGTTGGTCCGACATCACCATGCGAAGTCTCTCAACGTTCTGGCGGTAGCTGAATTAAAGAAAGTGATTTAAATTTCTAATTACTCCACATTACTTTTAATATTGTTTTGTCTAAATGAATCAGGATGTATAGTATCCTATTTGTTTATTCTGCATACATATTTATATATTAAACATTAAAATATTTTCATCCACTTTAGCGTAGCTCAATAAAAAAGTCTAAAAAAGTATTTTAAAAACTTACATTTTCAAACATGCTTCAAAATTATTTTAATATCTAAAATAATAGGTATCTAATATAATATAATAAGTTTACTATTGTAGTCTTATGTAGGAAACAATAAAGAGTATCTATCTATCTATTTATTTATTTATTGGTTTCATTCTAAACGTGCTTACAAATAATTGATAATAAGATGTAAAATTTACCTTTTATCATTTATTGTAGTATTGATAGCATTATATAATTTCTCCTCAGTGAGGTCCTCCATGTCCAGCCTCACTCCTATTCCATGTCTGACATACTGTTCCACATTGTACCACTGGTCCCCAAGCATCGGCATACCAATTAACGGAATTCCAGCAGCTATAGCTTCATCAGTTGACTGCAAGCCTCCTTGTGTTATAAACAGCAATACTTTTGGGTGCCCTTCAAAATGAAAACTGGAGTATTAGTTACGTAAAAGAGTAAAGCTATATTATAACTATATTTATATTTTTCAGACACATAGTTGTTTAGAATAAAAATAGCTAAGCTGCTCTATAAGCATATATATAAGTGATATTCTTGTGATCTCCATCTTCGACCTGAAATCGAGATGAATTGCGTGATTTTATTAACCTTTAATAGTAAAACAAAATGAGAATTTCTTATAATACGTTAAGTTTAAAAGTTATCATTTTAATGATTGAAATTTATTTTACTTTTTTATATTAAATATTTTTGTGATTTTATGCTATTTTTATACAACACTTTTTCTTCGCCAGTTATAAGCCGTTTGTTATTTTAAATAATATAGAATCTCCTGAATATTTCTTTTTAGCTGAAATTGCATTCCGAATAGCTGGTAGAGTAATAAAAAATTTACAAATTCAAACATTTTTATAATTAAGTTTACTTCAATAAAAAATAATTTTAATTTCGATCTGCCATTGTAAAAAAAAATATAAAAAAATAACCAGGGATTGACCACGATGGTTTCCAAGGTTTAGAATATCGTACATTGCTAGTAATGAGGCTGCTAGCTCCATAATTAACAATTAGTTAAAAATAGTAACTAATGGTAGTTAAATTAAAACACCCCTTATGGTAGTATTCAACAGCGGACACTTAACCGTTGATATGATGATGATGAAATTTAAACTTACTGAGAAGGTCAGACTGTGGAAGCCATTTTGATATTTTGATATTCTTTGAACGTCCCGGTAATTCATCCTTATCCCACTTCCATATTACGTCATATGGAAGACGAGAGAATACATTCACAATCATTTGTATTTTCTCCGGTGGTAGCTGTGATGGACTTACATTTGTACCATAACTTATATATATCACACCGTGCCTACAAGCGTCCAAGTAAGATTTAAGTTCCTGCAAAAAAAGTGAAAGCAAATAATGATATTTACTTCCATTAAATTTTATAAAATATAAAAGATATATTTGTACTAATCATATCCTGGAACCAAATGATCATATATAGTGCTGTGTCTTATATTAGAAGTTTCTCTGATAAACTTATGAAATAAGTTTATTAGATTTTAGTATTCTAGTTGTAAATAGAAAAGAATAAGTCTGTAAACAGAAATGTGAGACCTTTTTTAATTTATATATATATATATATATATATATATATATATATATATATTACGAGAAAATAATTGATTAAGATTGAAGAAGACAAAAAATATTTCTCCTGTCAGTATTATGACCTAGAGTTTTCGCTTTTAAAGTTTTTCTAATAAATCTTTTAGTGTAACAAAATTTTGTAAAACCGAAATAGTGCAAAAGTTTGAAAACAAAGGAGAATTTCCTCTTTTAATAAGGCGAATAAAGTTAAAAAAGAAATGTCTTACCATCGGTAGTTTTTTCTCTGGTTTGCGATGTAATCCTCCCAAATAGATAACGTTTGGTGGAACAGGACGGTTTGAATCCCAAATTGGATGAGCATTTAGAAATAACATGTCTATATTATTATACAATTCACTAAGAGGTGGAACGTCAGAACCAAATACTCTTTTCATCATTTCATTTTGTTTTTTTTCGGCAGTGTCAAACATATATATAAATGAGTAGTGATTGTAAAGTTCTATTATTTTGTCCCAAATTGTAAGATTGTTGAGTTTTTGACGGCAAGATGTTGGATAAAGAATAGGATGTACTGGACCGCCCACTGATTCCATATTATTATATATCGATAAAAAGGAACTTATAAGTATCACTGGAGCTTTATAAATATAAGACAGTCCCAATCCAGGTCTCCATAATGATTCTATAAATATCAAATCAAATTTGTCTTCCTTGTTTTGAATTATCCTTTGAACCTGATCTGAATTAATTTGTTGCTCAGATATATCAGTAAGTAAATTGTATAAAATTCTTATTTGGTTAAGAATATCACTTTTCTTTCCAGTGGTTGTTCCGCTGTTGAGCACTTCTTTTCTCCATATAGTGTATGATAAATCGTGCATATCAACTTCTGTCAAGTTGGCGTGAGCTTTCCTCTTAGGAGAGATTGGATCGGTTGTAATTACAGTAACATCATGACCTCGTTTAGCCAGTTCCGACATCAGCGGTTGAAATACTACCTGATGACTGATAGAAGGAGTTGGAAAATAGCCCAATATCCGAGCTGAATCATTTTTCACAACAAAAGCAAAAATTAAAAGATATAAGATATACACTTTCCTCATATTTGACTCAATTGAACTTTCAAATACAACTGAGCATTTTAAATTGTGTCTCTTATATTAATGGTATATATTATTAATATCATTAACTAAAATGATTTGCGGAAACATAGTTATCTTCAGTGGCACGTTATTATGTTAAACAGTTTTTATTTAGTGGGCAGTAAAATTAAGCGTGACCTTAAATTTGTAATTGATACATCTAATTATCGATAAACATTTTAACGCATAAAACGTTACTACGATATGTTCAGAGATATTTATTGGAAATTGTAAACGGGTCATTACTCTGCTATAATATATTATTTGTTTTTTTTTTATTTTTATGTACATATATTGATACCTTTAAAACCACTAATTACAAGAACAGGTAAGGTATCAATTATGAGTTTACTTCGATTACCTCGTGAAAGATTTTTTGTAACTGTTCAGATAAATACCCAGTATAAATAATGAACACCTAAAAAAAGGGTCTATTTTAACTGCATTACTCTAAATGGAAATTAATATCTATTAAAAACAGTGTTCTGCTAGAAAAAATGATTTTTCTTTAAAGAACCATATCATACCATAGTCGAAATATGTAAAAAATATTGGCCCTACCGATAAAGGTACGACGCATTCAACTGTAGAGTTAGTATGAGAAACTCAAAAGTTTATGTCATTTTTAATTTTAGATACTCGAAATTTCTGTTTAAATGTAATGTAATGTTTAGTACATACACTGTTACATGAACCACGTCATGCTACAATTTACAGTACAAATATTTTATTTGTCAGATTACCAAATACAATAACAATATCTGTTTTAACATTGATCTCTTTGTAGGGTCGACCCTGCAATATACAAACAAGATAAAAGGGCATATAGTGACATTGTATAATTGATCAATCACTATGTAATTTAGTATACATGTACTATATCGGATGAAAAGAATATAGGTTCTTTTTTTTCTTGGACACGCGGACAAAGTCACGGGTAAAAGTTAGTTACCGTATACATAATTTAGACATTATTTCGGGCTAGCTTTGTTAATTTCTGAATTTTGTTATTGACAATGTTGATGTAGTTATTAATAGTATTGTTTCTTTTTGTATACATTTGTGCAAATTTTATTGGTTGATAAATTATTAATTAATTGTGTAATTGTCAAATCTGTTGTTTTAGCTATATGTTTGCCTTAAATAAATAAATAAATATGAGAAGATTCTTCTAGTCCCCACTAGGTCGTCCTACACTGCATTTGCCCATACGGGTTCAACACTCACGAACATTTCTTCCCCATCGGTTGTCGGTTCTTCGAGCTACGTGACCAGCACATTGCCACAAAGCTAATTACTACTAATTATTATTTAAAAGATATTTATAGCTTTAAAAGAGGTATCTGCTTAAAAATTTAAATTGAAATAATCTATAGACTGTGGAAAGATAATTATGAATAATGGACATAAAGGCAAAAGTTAAATGAGTTTTATATATGATAGTTATAATTCGAATCTCCAATTATTTGTGTTATTTGACCTATAGTTCAATATAATTACTTATACTTTAATGAGACTTACGTCTGTTATATATTGTATGATTATAATTAAATCTACTATTTAATGTTTACTCAGTAAAGATTATAAAAATGTATATTTATGAATGTCTCTTACTTACTATTTTGAATGCCGGATAATGTTTAACTCACATTTATTGAAAATATTTTTTTTTATTTTTCAATTTACCTTTTTTTATATACCACAAAGGTGGTCAACATGCACACAACACGTCCGGTGGTAAACGGTCATTGTACGAGTAGCCTATGGATGCTTGTTACTGATACTAGGGGTGTCACGTGCACGTTGCCAACCCTGAAGATCTGGTTATTTACGACAATGTCATTTATATAATGTATTGTGAAACAAAATGGACTAAAATTAAAGCTTAGTTATTTTAACCTATACAATATACATTTTTGTTTGTTATATTTTGGTATTTTTATTGTAAGTTAGATAGTCTAGCTGATATGTTCCGATGCATAAAAATGACTGGGTAACAATTATTTGGTACACAATAAAACAAGTTTCCTTAACTAGTTTAGTATATTAATTTATTAATTACTTTTAATTTTCTTATTAGCACCATAGTTATGTTGTATAAATAACACTATGTAATAAATAGCAATCACACTGACAAATATCACAGTTGTTAATCCTAATAATAAATATGTAACTAGTTCAATTTCCAGGAATTCACCCCAAGATATGTTGGCAGCGGGCGAGCGCAGGTGCTTCGCTCCCTTGTGACGCAGCACGTACTCTGTCCACCACACGGCGCGCTCGAGCGCGCTCTGTGGCTGGTCCGACATCACCGTGCGAAGTCTCTCAATGTTCTGGCGGTAGCTGAATAATTTAAAATTTAAACAAAAATAAAATGATTAATCATAACTCGATTTAGTTCAAATAAACATTAACAAACAGGTCATGTGGTCCCGGCCACTATTTCTAATAGGCCACCCCTTCCTTTCCCGTGGATATCGTAAGAGCCGATTAAGGGGGGTCAAGGGATGGGTAGTAGCATCCCTCTTTAAATATCTCCAAAGTTTGACTGCGGTTGTCAACCCGCCTGCCAAGCGTGATAACTGCTGACAAAACTCCCTAAGGGGAAAGCTTATGTTCAGCAGTGGACTGTTACAGGCTGATAAGGTGATGATGAAATATGCTATAATTATTTATATTCTGGATATGATAAACATGAGAGGCAGGCGTGAAGATATGTATGTATGTGTGATCCATATGTGATATTTAAATTCATTTAGTCGCTTTACAGTGACTGAAAAATAAACTTCAAAAACAGTTGCAAACTGTCACATTTATAATATTTTTTATTTAAAATTCACTTATTATTTTTATTAATCTAAACATATTTCATAATTTAATTATATTTTCCTAAAATGGTTGTTAATTTTTTTGGTAGTAAAATTACCTAGTAATGATAATTATTGGGGAGAAAGGGATTGTTAGTAATGGAGTTTGACAGTCCCATTGCTAGCAATACGCGCTATTAGGTTGACCTCCACGTGGTTCCCACTGGAAACCATTGTGAACAATTCTTGTTGAATTCGTCACGATGGGCTAACTAACCTGCTTCATCCTCATACATTAAAAAATATATAATTATTATTATAAATATGCTTCAAGGTATTTTAATATCAAATTTATCTAATAATGTTATTCTAAATATGTTTTCAAATATTTTTAATGTGCAATATACCTTTTGTCATTTATTGTAGTTTCGATGGCGTTATGAAATTTCTCCTCAGTGAGGTCCTCCATGTCCAGTCTCACTCCTATCCCATGTCTGACATACTGTTCCACGTTGTACCACTGGTCCCCAAGCATCGGCATACCAACTAATGGAACTCCAGCGGATATAGCTTCATCAGTTGACTGCAAACCTCCTTGTGTTATAAACAATAACACTTTCGGGTGCCCTTCAAATAGAAAAATTAAATGAAATTTATGTCATCATCGTCATCTGTCCTCAGCCATTATCTGTCTACGGTTGAAGATAGGCCTTCCTTGTAGACTGCCATAAGGAGCGGTCCTTAGCCACCTGCAACTGTTAACTCCTTGCAATGCATTTGAGATCGTCATTCTATCAAGTGGGAGGGTCGTTCTACACTGCGTTTGCCCGTATAGGGTTTGCTACTCAACCTTTCTTCCCCATCGGTTGTAAATTCTTCGAGTTATGTGATTAGCTTATTCTTCTTTCTTTCAAATTTATGTGTTAAATGAAAATTTATACTTATCTACATTGAGAGATATACTAGAAAATCTCTGTTTATGGAGGGTATTTAAGAAAATATAATATAAAGAGACGAATAGATGCTAAAATAATTTTTTTAGTCATTTTGCCTATTTGTCTATCTGTCTATCAGTATGTTTGTTCTGGAAAAACTATTGCATTAAATTGAATGCGGTTTTATTTGTTGTTACAGTGAATAGAAATACAACATTCTTTGTATTTATTCATAAATATACATTTAATTTTTTTTTTGTCAACGAGTTTCAAAAAGAAGGAGGTTCTCAATTCCGAAATATTTTTTTTTATTTTTTTATATCATTATACCGTCAGTTGTAAATTGACTTGAAAAAAATCTTTTTCTACCTGAAAGTTTATTATTATTATTATTATTATTAGTGTTATTTGTTAGTTTTATTAATCTCACAAATTAGTTCCATAGACATTTTATCAAAATCCATTTAGTAGTTTAGTTTTTAAACGTACATTACTTGTTTTGCCACAATTGAAGTCGTTTTTCCTTTGTGGCACACAATCTTAAATTATCAATCAATATGTTTGTTAGGTCTATGTTCAGTAGTGGATGGTTTTTACATATTTTAGTATAACTTTATATATAAAAAAATATAAACCTTTTTCAATTTCCGCAATTGTTTTTACATAAAACATACATAAATAACTATACTTACTACGAATTATTTGTTTTTCTTCGACACGCTCAAAACAAACAATCATGATAAAAACCCGTTAATTATGTATAAATATAAGTTTATAAATAGTGGTGATATAAGTTTAAACAAAAAATAAATTTTAAAAATCGATAATAAAGAATAAATATACAGTCGAATATAAAACTTTTTTTTTTGAAGTCCTTAAAAAACTATACTGTTTATTCTTAATATATTGTAGAAAAATATAATAATAATAATAATAACGTCTCGGAACAGAACCTAGCCGATAGAGTTCGGTACATACAGCGCTCTGGTATGTTTAGCGCGACCGAACTCGAACGATTGCGAAGTGAAGTTGTTCCAGAAGCAGGCTTGGCGACCACGGAGCAACCCATCTCGGACGTGTTACCTAGCGTAGAGGTGGTTGCCGAAACGCCTTCAGAAGCGGATGTGGACGGAACAACTTCCCAGGACATAGAGCATATGAGGAGCATACTAGAGGAGGCGATTCTAGAGATCCGAAGAACTCCCCTCGAAGAGAGACCGAAGCTTCCCCGGATATATCCAAATGTGGCGACGCGGGATGCCATTGAGACCACAAATACACTGCTGCCTCAATACCTTGAGGGCAGCGGTGACCTGGGAGAGACGAGCTCAATCTTATTCGGCGCTGCGTTGGCAGTATGCCGATATACCGGCGCAAAAATGCCCCGGGCTGGACGTAATATCCGAAGGGATAATGCGAAACCAGCCTGGAAAAGAAGAATTGAGCGACGGATCACCCAGGCCAGGGTTCTCATTGGCAGACTGCTCTGCTTCAGGGAGGGCAATACACGCCCGAGAATTATGCGCTCCGTAAAAGAGGCCTTTGCTGGGACAGGTGTACGTCTGTTCCAGCCGGACTTCGGGCAAAAACTCGCGGAGCGTATAGACGATCTGAAGCAGAAGATCGCTGCATGGGGGAAGCGACTCCGACGGTACTCTGAGAGGGTCGAGAGGTATCAACAGAATCGTCTCTTTATGAGTGATCAACGGAAGTTCTATAGGAACCTGGAGCGCCCAAAACTGCAGCCCACAGGAGAAAGACCAGAAACAGCCAATTTCGTCGCCTTCTGGCGACAGCTGTGGTCTGAACCTGTGGAGCATGAGGAGGGCGCATGGATGCACGATGTTGAGGAAGCATGTGCTCGAATAACGCCGATGAACGCCATTGCCATTACGGAGGAAGACGTGGTTGCCGCGATCCGTCGGGCTCCGAACTGGAAAAGTCCGGGGATCGACGGATTGCAACACTACTGGTTAAAGGCGTTCTCGGCCAGCCATGCGACCTTAGCCGTGCAATTCCAGAGTGCCCTCGAAAACAGGACGCTCCCGAACTTCCTTACAACCGGGATCACTCATTTAGCTCCTAAGACGGACGATACCGCGGATCCATCTAAATATCGCCCCATCACTTGTCTTACTACAATATATAAGACGTTAACATCCGTTCTGAGCGCTAAGATCTCTCGTCATGTGTACGAAAATAAGATCCTATCTAGCGCTCAGAACGGATGCAGGGGCGGTAGCCGCGGATCGAAGGAGCTGCTCCTCATTGATGCTGTCGCTGGGCACGTGGTCAAGCGGAACCGTCGGAATTTCTCCGCCGCCTGGATAGATTATAAAAAGGCGTTCGATTCCGTGCCCCATTCATGGCTCCGGAGGATACTCGAGTTGTACAAGATTGACGGTACAGTTCGAGTGTTCTTGGAGGCATGCATGGGGCGGTGGACGACGATCCTGACTATCCAGGGCGAGCGATTGACGGATACCGCTGACCGGATAGAGATCAAGAGGGGAATATTCCAGGGTGATTGTTTGAGTCCACTTTGGTTTTGCCTGTCCCTGAATCCTCTCAGTACTTTACTGGAGAATTCGGGGACTGGATTTCAGTATCGGAGAGGAGGTACACGAGTGTCTCACCTTCTGTACATGGATGACTTGAAACTACTAGCTCCAAGTGTCGAACGCCTGACGGAGCTGCTAAATATCGTAAACGATTATAGCAGCTCTGTTAGGATGGCACTCGGAATAGACAAATGCGCGGTCCTCCATGTGCAGAGGGGACGGGTCACTCAAACTGAAGAGATCGCCACAGATCCCTCTAATATTAAAACCCTCTCCGAGGCTGAAACATACCGGTATCTGGGCATGTCACAAAACATCGGTGTGAGGGAGACGGATGTGAAACGGTCAGTTCGCGAGGAATTTTTTGCGCGCCTTACAAGAGTACTGAAAAGTTTTTTTTTTTTTTTACAACACAGGGGGCAAACGAGCATGCGGCTCACCTGATGGTAAGTGACTACCGCCGCCCATGGTCACCCACAACACCTACGGCATTGCAGGTGTGCTGCCGGCCTTTTAAAAAGGAATATACGTTACGAATATATTAAGTTCCTTGTCGGGCGCCAATAAAGTCCGAGCTTATAACGGCTGGGTCATACCCGTACTCCTTTACACTTTTGGCGTGCTCAGATGGTCTCAAACCGAACTCGAAGCCCTGGATCGGAAAGTCCGCACAACTATGACCCTCCATAGAATGCATCACCCGAAATCGTCAATCATGAGGCTGTATATCCCGCGGAAAGCTGGTGGTCGAGGCTTATTAAGCGTTAAGACCATGCACAACCGCGAGATTGACAGCCTCAGGACATATTTTCTGGAGAAAATAGACGAGGGTTTGCATAGAGAGGTCATAGAATGTGACAAAGGATTCACCCCTCTTTCTCTGGCTAAAGAGGACTGGCGAAAACCCGAAGTTTTGAGTTAGTTGCCATCTCCTCTCCTTAAGAGGGGAGATGAGAATTTTGGTAAAATTTAAAAATAATAATAAAATCTTATGATACTCTGTAAATAACCTCAATGAACCGTGAAAGCCTCATCAGCACCCTGACTGTGTTCTAACATCGGATATGGAGATCTCTATGAGACTTTTGAATATATACGTAAAAGTTATTTAAGGAAATAAAACCCTAAATGTATTATTAGTTTACGCTGTTGGAGTATTAGGGAGGCACAAAATTAGGTCATTTGGTACATGGTGATGAATTTATCAAGAATTAACTACAATATTTGACAGAACAATCAGTGTAGTAAGTGTAATATGACTGACCTAATATTATACTGTTAGCAATGATGCTGTTAGTCTAAATTTCTATAAATTATTAGATACTTAATATTTAAATGAAAACTTACTGAGAAGGTCAGACTGTGGAAGCCATTTCGATATTTTGATATTCTTTGAACGTCCTGGTAATTCATCCTTATCCCACTTCCATATTACGTCATATGGAAGACGAGAGAATACATTCACAAGCATCTGTATTTTCTCCGGTGGTAGATGTGATGGATTTACATTTGTACCATAACTCATATATATCACACCATGCTTGGAAGCGTCCAAGTAAGATTTAAGTTCCTGCAAAAAAAAAAAAAAACTTCCATTAGTTTTTATATAAAACATAATACTAACAAACATATTAGAATAAATTAGTCAATGTTCTAAGTTTTGAACTTGTGCTCAATGTGTTATGTTGAGGAACAGCTCAAAAAGTGGTCACTCAAGGTCGACAGGTAATTATTTCATAACACTTTATAGTTATTTAACATCTTAATGTTATAACAACAAAAAAATATTTAAAGTGTAAAAAAATATTTAGTATATGAAAACATAACTAATATAATTTATAATCTCAATTTAAATTTCAACTAATCCTATTGAAAAAAAAGTCTTTAAAAAATTATTGATGCAATTTTAAATAGAAGAATCTCCGAAAAATTTATGGAAAAAGTATATATTTTTGACATTTTGTATTATTAATACTGCACAAGTTACTTTTAATTTGAGAATATATTTATTATTTATTATGAAATTCCACTGGAATATATAGTATTTTATTATTTTCTCACCAGAGAAAAGTTATTATGTGAGACTTTAGACGTAGAACAATTACTTTTGCGTACTTACTCCAATGAGACTTAGTTGAGTTAAATAAAATTCTTTTATAGTGAAGTGTGATAAATTAAGTTGCAAAGTAACTTTGAACATGAAAAAGATCGTTGCATTGACAATATTCTCTTTTGGAAGTATATTCAAAAGAATTAATTGACTTACCTCTGGCAGTTCTTTCATTGGTTTACGATGCAATCCTCCTAAATAGACAACGCTAGGTGGAACAGGACGGTTTGAATCCCAAATTGGATGGGAATTTAGAAATAACATGTCTATATTATTATACAATTCACTAAGAGGTGGAATATTAGGGCCAAATACTCTCTTCATCATTTCATTCTGTCTCACTTCAGCGGCGTCAAACATATTTATAAAAGAGTAATGATTGTACAGCTCTATAATTTTGTCCCAAATTGTAAGATTGTTGAGTTTTTGTCGGAGAAGCGTTGGATAAAGTATAGGATGTACTGGACTTCCTATTGCTTCCATATTATTATACATTGGCAAGAAGGAACTTATAAGTATCACTGGAGCATTATAAATGTAGGACAATCCCAATCCAGGTCTCCATAATGATTCGATAAATATCAAATCGAATTTGTCTTTCCTGTCTTGAATTATGTTTCGAACCTTATCTGACTGCATTTGTTTCTCAGATATGTCTGTGATTAAATTATATAAAACTCTTAATTGAGTAACAATATCACTTTTCTTCCCTGATGTTGTTTCAGCGTTGTATACAGCTTCTCTCCATATAGTGTATGATAAATCGTGCATATCAACTTCTGTCAAGTTGGCGTGAGCTTTCCTCTTAGGAGAGATTGGATCGGTCGTAATTACAGTAACATCATGACCTCGTTTAGCCAGTTCCGACATCAGCGGTTGAAATACTACCTGATGACTGATGGAAGGAGTTGGAAAATAGCCCAATATCTTAGCTGCATCATTTTTCGCAACTAAACAAACTATCGGAAGAATATAGTAATACACTTTCAACATGTTTAACTCATTTGAGTCTACAAGTAGAACTGAGAATTTTAAATTATGCCACTTATTTTAATGGCGTGTATGTACTCATACATCGTTAGTACATTTATTTATAATGACTTGCGGAAACATGCTTGTCTTCAACAACATGACAGTTAAGTATATAATTTTTTTCTTCTATTTATAGGGTCATTATTTATGTATTTGCAATTTGTGATTGATATGTCCAACAACAGTCGACGAATGATTCAAATAAATTGCGTCTGAGATTTTAATGAACTCTTATAGGTTAGTTATGTATTCCTTCATGTTCTTTTTTGTATCAATTAATGGACAATTTGTTTCCATCAGTTTAGATCAGCAATATGTAAGCTATTAATTCAATTTATCAATTCAGTAAAGGCTCATATTACACAGACCTAGAAGAAAATTAAAATTAAAGAATAACCAGAGGAGTGTTTTTTAGGGGTAGGGAGGGTTCTATCCTTGCTAATATTATAAATGTGAAAGCGAGTTTGTTTGTTAACTATTAGTGCCTTAACGGCTTAATCAATTATTATGGAATTTTGTATACAGGTACTATATGGGATGAAGAATGTTATAGGTCGTCTTTTATCTCGATCAGTAAATATATCCTAGCCACGTGTGAAATCACGGATAATAGCTTGTATGTATTGTAAAATTAAAATATATCCGTCAAAAACAAATATTATATTTTAACGGTAACAAAAACCAGATTGACTTGGGCGTATTTTATAATCCAATTTTACTTACACTTATAGACTTATTCGTAAAAAAAATATTGTACATTTAAAGCGTTCTAAATAAAGCTTGATTTATAAATTATCTGAATAAATAAAATAGTTTACATTATTATGTTGCAAACTTGTAGAGTTTTACAGACACAGCTGTAATCAACTGTCAAAAAGATTATGTGATTTTAATAAAAATCTTGATAAATATACTATTATTGTTTTTTTACTACGAGTATGATTATTTCTTATAATTATTTGTATCTATAATAAGTTCACTATTGTAATCTTTTGGAGGAAACAATAAAGAGTCAGTCTATTAATCTTTAATTTCATTTCAAAATAATAATAGACATGGGTCAAGTTAAGCAAGTACAATGTTATATTCAACGAGAAATAAAAACCATAAAGGACTTACAGGGTAATAAATGTATTCCACATGGTAAACCAAATGCATTGTATAAATTATTGTTTTTCCTTGTTAAAAATTCGTAAATACTTATATTATACACACAGCACGGCTAGAAGTTAGATTTCAATGTTGAAACTGATTGTGAAGGAAGGAAATGATTATCTTTAAATATGCGGTAAGGAAAACGATTAATAACTACATTAGATCAATAGTATCTAGATAGAGCTTGCCGTTCCCAACATAGAATAGGCTATCCCTTCCTTTCCCGTGCATATTGTAAAAGGCAACTAAGACAACTTAATGGTCGAGGGATGGGCAGTAGCGTCCATTTTAAATATTACCAAAGCCTAACTACGGATGCCAAGTACTATTAAACTATTAGAACGGCGTGTTCAGCTGATGAGTCTGTACTGAAGGCAAAAATTTTGTTTTTTTTTTTGGGTTTTTTATTTTTGTAATTTCTGTTTTAATATATTTTATAACCTGAATATATAATATGTTTATTTTAGTACTGCAATACGATTTCTACTTTACTCTATATATGAAAAGGGATACCCAAAATTATAGCTACTACTTGCAACGCCGAAAAATGGCACGCTTTATTCAGTTACATTATGATCATAAAAATATTATATTAGTAAATATTTTTGAGTCTCCATCTAAAAGTATATAATCTATGTTAGTTTGTAAGCGAGTTTAAAGGCGACTTCACTGCAGTTGACATTGCAGCCTTTAATATAAAATTGTATAAATAAAGCTGTTTTGCGGTAAAAGGACACAGTCTTTATAAGGCCACATAGATTTATTCAGACTAATAATATATTATTATTTCCCGTAACATTATTCGCATGGAATTTGGACGTATGAAAAACATATCTCATGTCTATAGGCGACGGTTACCACTTTCCATCAGGTGGGCTGTCAGCTTGTTTGCCATTCTAAGTTGTATAAAAAAAAAAATTAATGGTCGAAGGAAGCGCAGCAACGTTTCTCTTAAAACATCTCTAAAGCCTAACTGCGGTTGGCAACCCGTCTGCCAAATGTAGCAACTACCGACAAAACCCCTTTTTTGGGAGACGCTTATGTTCAGCAGTAGACAGTTAGCCGTTAAAATAATAATTAATAAAAGAGCATAACAATAAAGCCTCGATTTACGTCTAGATAAAATATCCTTTGAAAGGCTTCAGCCCTAATAGGAAGGCGGTAGAAGCAAAAATAGTGATTTGGAGTATAGTTTATTTATCTACCCTCGTACATAATCTTCCATACATGAGAAAAGATCCATATCTCTCCTCATATATTGAGGATTAACGTAATAACAGCTATGAACTTATGTATTGTGTTTTGTTCACCTAGTCATCTTGCAATATCCTGAGAATCCCAAGAAGTAATAACACATTGTGTTCATAATATTATATATTCACCACAGGGAGACTTTGTACAAGAGTCGTTTGCTTGGATACCTTTGTCCAATTCGTGTTTCAACCGTGAAGCAGTTGTGTTTGTATGGCTGTGTTTCGGTTTAAAGGGTGGGATATGCCAGTGAATTTATAGGGTACAGAGGAATAACATCTCAAGGATAAAAACGCATGGGGGGTTGGGTATCATGGGCGAAACAGTATATATACTATTATGTCCATGGTACTGGACATGGTATCGGACATGGTACTCCATGGTACATTACTATAAGCGACGGTTACCACTTACCATCAGGTGGGCCGTCAGTTTGTTTGTCATTCTAAGCTGTATAAAAAAAATACAGTACGCATATAATTTTGTAGTTATTGTTTTCAATTTTGTACATACACATTTTTGAAATAGTATCACTTACAGATGGAGTATCGAGATAAATTATAAACCCATAATGGTGTATGAACAGTAGTCGTTAAATAATAACTCTTGTGAGTTATACTGTATTGTAATTAGTTATGTAGAATTGACCCGTGTGGTTTTGGCATAGAATTGACCACCCCATCTTGGAAAGATGGAAGGTACTCGTCTTTTTCATGTAAAACGGCGGCCATTTTTAGTGATTTAAAACAAAAACATATTTTATGTCCATATTCAAATAAAAATCAAAATATCTGGAAAAGATAAGCATCATTACGAATAATGCAATGTTTATCTTTTTCTTTCAAATATATTCGTAAATTTTTATATCGTTTTTATTTTAAATTTTAACATTATAGATTTTTTGCTAATATTGCTAAGGTACAACTGTGCATACTTTTTTTTATGGAATGGTAACTCCACCTGCTCTAACGGTATACGCTGGCAGAGCACCAGTGAGGGATGATAGGTGGGAATAAAAAAGCAGATCTGTGAGCCTATCGTAATGAATACATGTGAAATTCAGCATGATGGTTTCCAGGGGAAACCAAGTAAAGGTCGACCTGACAGGGTATATTGCTAGCAATAGGATTGGTAGCCCGCATTACTAACAATCCCTCCCCCCAACTGTAAATACTGGTAACCCAATGTTACGCTGTATAAAAAGAAGACCTATTTTGGTGAAGCATTTGTATGGACACACTATCTATAGGTATAATTTTAGCATCAAAACTAAACAAAGGAAGATTCTACTAGTTTCTTCATTGTAACTATTCGATTGAAGTTATTGTGTTTATAGAAAACGAGCTCTTTCATTAATTTACCAACAAAAACGGCAAACAATGAAACTAATAGCTGTCATCGTTGTAATAAATAAGACATTTTAGAATTCGCCTTTTGTAAGCCCGCTCCAAGGTTTTATGTAATTACAGCTCGTATACTTTTGACAAACAAAATAATTGTTATTATCAACTATGGACAGCAGAATAATCTTAACCGTAAGGATTACAACACACTTTTTTTTAAGTTAAACATCTACTACACACGTGGGGAAGTTTGATCTCTCAAATGTTTATTACTATTATATTAGTCGTTAACTATCCTCTGCTGAACACAGGCCTTTTCCATAAGAGGAGTTTTGCCGTGGGCCTTTTTCATAAGAGAAGTTTTGCGTTTTTGTCTATATTTATGAGTTAATTATTTAAATAATAATAATAATAATATTAATTCCTTTTTTATTTTAATAATTTTATTTAATATGCTACCTTCGAACAAGTTACTAAAATATAGTACATATTTATAGATAATGTTACTTTTCGACAATTCATTGTCTTCTGCCTCTTTATATTTGTTCATAAAGTAATATAAAATTAAAATAGAAGATAACGCAAATCGTATTTTATTTATTTTTACGTTTAAAATAGCGTTATGTCTATAGTGTCAGTAAAAAAAACTTTGGTCTATAAAAACATTGTGACGTATATTAATTAATAATTTTGTATTGGATATTTATTGAATATATATATATATATTTATTGAATATATATATAGATATGTTTATTGAAAAATAAAAAAAAATCTTCATGTCTGTTTAAAATTTTAATTAAATTTTGTTTCTTAATATACTACATAAAAAAAATATTCAGACAATTTTATACACTTTATTACTAGGTAAAAGTTTGCTCTGTGATCCCGGTATAGAATGAGCCACCTCTTCCATTCCCGTGGATGTAGTAAATAGAGACTAAGAGAACTTAATGGTCGAGATAGCAACTAGATGGCCATCTCGCCTGACAAGCGTGACAACTACCGGCAAAACCGTCCTTATGGGGAAGGCCTATGTTCAGCGGTGGACACTTAATGGCTGATATGATGATGATAGAAATAATAACATTTTATAATAATTTATTTTATTTTAATAATACGAATACAAAAAAAAGAAAACGCTATTTACGTATAAATATTAAAAATCCATTCCGTCTATAACTATTGTGTAAAGCTGTCCATTACGTACAAACTTGATAATAAATGTCTAATTACTCTTTGATTACCTAATAGCGTGATGTTTCCAGGTGAGGAAGTAACCCATTAATTGGGTCATAATCTACAATGTAATATCTTGTTATTATTCATGTCGACTTTATTCACATTTTAATATCGGTTCGGTTTATTAGTGAATGCGGATCACGGCTATGTCGTAAGTAGCACTGAGCCGTGCTCAAAAATAAGAGCTCCTTGAGTCCGAAACTAGTTGGACATCATCGAATTTTAAACGTGAGTAAAGCCGATGTAAATAATTACGATAGAGAATAACTATTGTTGTTATTATTTAACAAATTAATATTTGACCTTAATATGTACTTGAGGCAAGTAATATAAAGCAATACAATTACACAGATTAGATAAATATGCCCTTTATCATTATTATTTTAAAAAATGTGTTTATTTTTATCTGATATCTATATACATACATATATTTACTTGAGGAGACTTTGTGCAAACGTCGTTTGCTTGTTTGCTGTTCCATTCGTGTTTCTACCGTGAAGCAGTTGTGTTTGCATGGCTGTGTTTCGGTTTGAAGGGTGGGATGTGGCAGTGAATTTTCAGGGTACAGAGGAATAACACCTGAGTCCTCAGGATTGACAACGTATGGGAGGTACTATGTAACTGATTGACAACGTATGGCAACTGTATGTTGCAGCTGCACCCACGTAAATTATGTATAAAGTATATTATATGTTAAGTTAGGATATAACCTATCCATGTACTAAGTTTTATTCAACTGTATTTAGTTGATATCACATTTGGTCCCGGAATAGAATAGGTCACCCCTTTCTTTTCCGTGGGTGTTGTAAAAAGCGACTTAAAGTGGCCGAGCTATGGGCAGCAGCGTCCCTCTTAAAACATCTCTAAACCTAACTACTGGCAAAACCACCCTAGAGGAAGGTTTATGTACAGCAGTGGACAGCTAAAGGCTGATACGATATGATGATTCAATAGTTTTACGTGAAAAGTAACAAACATCCATCTATACATTTTTTTTATACAACTTAGAATGGCAAACAAACTGATGGCCCACCTGATGGAATGTGGTAACTGTCGCCTATAGACATGAGCAATACCATGGACATAACAGAGTATACTGTCTCGCCCATGATACCCCCCCATGCGTTGTCATTCCTGAGGACTCAGGTGTTATATTTCTGTACTTGTTATTATCTGTAAATTCATTGCCATATCCCACCCTTCAAACCGAAACACAACCATGCAAACACGACTGCTTCACGGTAGAAAAACGAATGGGACAGAG